AGGATGAGGACAATATTCCGAATAATGTAAATAGAGTATCAATAAATCTATATGATCTTAATTATTATAAAACGCAGATAGATTGTTTGTGTGTGTGTGTGTGTGTGTGTGTGTGTGTGTGTGTGTGCGTTCCTTTATATATGGGATCGGATTTCTTTCATTTTTCAGCCGATAAAACAAACATCCACTTTTTTTTTTCGGCAGGTAGTATTTTATTGTCTTGCACACTTTTTTTCTTTATTTACATTCAGAATGCTTTTAAAATTCCATTTACAAGACAATTGTTTATAATAAAATTCTATTCACCAATCGATAGACTCATAACGATTTAAACAATGTTTTTGTTTGAATTTGGGTTTGACCAATTGTAAAAAAAATTTAAAAAAAATAAAAAACTAATTAAGACATGCGTGTCCGTCAACCTTAAACAATAATCTTTGTCAATTTTATTTTTCAGTCTTTATGATGGTCGATACTTGATCTATCTCTTACTGTTACATCCCCGGGCAACGCCGGGCTCTACTGTTAGTACTCAATAAGCATAACACACTTGTTAGTCGAATTTTGTTCTGTAATTTTAACTGTGTCATGTTTGGTTTATATGATGTACGGAGAAGCAGTAGGTTATTGACGAACATAAGTTGAATGCATTTCACAGCACGATTTAAAAAAAAAACTGCTCGGGATATTTAACTATGAAAAATGTCAGTCTTTTCTACTTAGCTTTCGTAATTATTCTTTCTTCCCACGCAGTCATGGCCATTATTTGCGTTTTTGTTTCACGTCCTCTTTTATTTTCGGTATTTGAATGAGTTCTCAATCGCCTTTGGAGAATAGATTGTTATTCAATGGTTATTAAATTGGTATTCAATGGTCTGTGATATTAACAATAACATTTTGTTCTTTATACTTTTATAAACAGGGTTTGGTCATAATCATCATCACCATCAATGTTATTATTCTTTTTATACACTATTTACATTATTCGGGCTATTGTCCTCATCTTTGTCGCCATATTTATTACAACTTTTCGGCCGTTGTACGCTCTGGCCTTCTTCAGGTGAATGGAATGTCGAACTGAACCCTTTATTATTTGTCTATATTTCTGAGATGAGGTATTATGTGCATTATTTACAAGACAAAAGAAGATAGACTGTTCAGTGAATTGAAATATTTCTAGTTTCTCTAACATTTATTCAACATCTTAATTTAATAACTAATATTTTTGTTCTTTTTCTTAAACGTCTTTAGACTTCATAAACCTTTTTGTGAGTATTTTGAAAATTAAAGCACAAAAAAATGGTTAATCAATAATGTGATTACCTCCTCCCGTCAAAATTTGGAATATTCTGTAAATTAAGGTAACACAAATAGTTTTGATTACTGTTAGGGTCAAGCATAAAAGAATATATATATATATATATATATATATATATATATATATATATATATATATATATATATATGAATATGAAAATTAAATTGGAGTTATCTCCCTTAAGGATTTTGGGATCTCCAAGATGAGAGGGTTCCGCTAAAGCATGGCGACTAAGTCATAACAATTATGTAAAATTTTACCCTAAAACAATATTTAACAAAAATTTCAGCCCCCCACTATATTTTTTTTTATTAAAACTTATTTATATATTGAATTTTTTAATTTTTGAATATTTTAATTTTTTCTACATCCAGATGTATTAGATAATGCACAATTTCCAAACTTTAATTTAAAATTTGTATGAATTAATTTATTAATGTACGTCGTTAAAAGTTTTAAAAATTATTGTGATTTCTTAGAACCGAATTAATTTAAGAACCACCCTCTACCTTGAGTGACTATAGAGTTTTATACTGGGTGAATCTTTATATGAAAATATGTTTCTGTTTCAAACCGTCTAAAAGTACTTTTCTGGTTTTTGCTTAGTAATTTTTATTGTTTGATCTTTTAAAGTAACTACAAGTGTGATGTTGTTGTTTTTTTTTTTTTTAAATAATCTTTTCATTGTTATTTTTGGATTAATTTCGAAAATTTGCAAACGTTCATATCCAGTCATGTATTCTTTGCAAATTTACAAAATCTGTACGGTGAATTCGGATATCAATAATATTCTTTCTCGTTAAAAGAAGAGGAGTGCGGTATGTATGCGTTTTTTCATCGAATATGCTTAACCTGTACAGTGCAATGATTTCAAGAGAACTGGGTTTTATGACAGCATTTATTACCGGCAGACGTAACATAATTAACATTCGCTGTACAGAAGGCACTTTGTTGATACCAGATTCGGAAGGGAAACTGAAAAATAAGTTTTAGAGAAGGTAGCTGATGAAAGCAAAAAGAAAATATTAATTCAAGACGAAATGCATAGCTGTTAACAAAAGGGTCAGCACAAGTTACAAAGTGTCAAAACCAAACAAGTGCGGAAATAAGGTGTAAACGAATGCAAACAAGATCGAACGGTCAGTTTAATGAGCCATAGAACGAATCTAATTGATTAGGTAGCGCTGCAGAATTAGGCCAGAAATAGGACAATAAAAGTGTGGTTTCATTAATGACGCTGGAACAAGAAATGCACTATTTATGTTCCGAATGATATTAGAAAGAGCATTACAAGTGCAGGAGGATGTAGATCTATGTTCTATGCCTGATGCAGTTTCATAAAGTACGACACAAAAATGTTACTAGAGAATCTACAAGGAGCAAGCCGCCTGTATAGAGACAGAAAATGGATTCAGTAAATACACAAAAACAGAAACGGGAGTAATATAAGAAAGTGTCTATTCACCAGACTTATTCAACATTTACAGTGAGGCGATCACACATTATATATATATATATATATATATATATATATATATATATGTGTGTGTGTGTGTGTGTGTGTGTGTGTGTGTGTGTCATTCCCAGACAGACTGTTCCGCTGTATCACAGCTCATCAGTGTGACTTGACATCCGATTGCCTCAAGCCAGGATCGAAAAACAACTGATTTTCCATCAGTCGGAGATTTTTCCCCTGATCTATCAGCTCCCGACAGAGAAGTAGGTGAATTTCTACGTATTTAGTTTAGAATAAACCCACCAATGACTCAGAGTGCTCAATTCATAGAAGAGCTTTTGCATCTGCTGTAACAGTCACTGTTTACAAATTCACGCTTTTCCCTATTAAGTGCTGGACCGAATTTTTATTGGGGGGGTATATATGTGCTATCCACAGACATACTGTTTCGCTGTATCACAGCTTATCAGTGTGGCTAGACATCTGATTGCCTCAAGCCAGGATCGAACCCAACCGATTTGACATCTGTCAAAGATTTTTCCCCTGAGCTTATATATATATATATATATATATATATATATATATATATATATATATATATGTGTGTGTGTGTGTGTGTGTGTTAATAAAAAGATTCATTTTTCCTCACACTATTTTCTATTTTGTGTACTACCACTACTACTTTTTCTATTAGTAAGAAAGTGGTTTGTTTCCAGTAAACGTTCTGGATTATTCTGATTTCTTTCTCGAATAAATTGAGTTTTCCTAACAGTTAAAACAGATCTTCATGTCGTATCTTACTAGTAAGGACTCATAATACCTGCTTTAAAAAATAAATGAATTCTCAGACTTGGCATTTGCGATTCTATGTCAGGATACGTCACCATACCGGACACTTATTTGTATCCATTCCAACACAATCTTGGGCTTCAATGTGCAGAAATACATTTAGCTGCTTGGCGTCACCCCCAGCAAGGAACAACCTTCTATCTACAAAGCAACGCCCATGGTGAGTGATATAAGTGGTTTATTAAAGAACTTATTTCCCGAAATTCAAAACATCTCATCTGAAACTAGTTGGGAGTTAGCGTTACTTCAAGTTCTGCACAGCATTTAGTCTATGCTATCAACAGCAATAAGCCGTCCTGGGTATGACGATAAACTACATCCGCGTCCTGGCTAAGACGATAAACTACGTCCAGCAGCAAGGCCTCTGATCAAGAGGTTTTGAAGAGCGTAGAACTACCTCTTAATTGCTGGTGTTCCCAGGTCCATCCTGACCCGGGGTGGTAGCACCTGTTAGGGCCCCAGCAAAAATAGTTAACCCCTGAAACTGGGATAAAATGGGTTTTAATACCAGGAATACGGTTTTTTGTAAAAATACACACACAAATATATATATATATATATATATATATATATAGATAGATAGATAGATAGATATAGATATAGATATAGATATAAATTTTTGAAGAAAAAAAAACTATTACCAGCAATACATTTTTGAAAAAAATATTACCAACAATACGTTTTTGAAAAATATTACCAACAATACTTTTTCGAAGGAAAAATTATTACCAGAAATAGATTTTTGACAAAACAAAATATTACCAGCAATAAAAACTTTATCGGTCTTAAATAACCCATTGAGGTTGATATGCCGTAAAACACAACAAACCAACACAAATAAGCACAATTGCTCACGAGGGATTTTCCCATTTTCTTGGCGATCATCAATGAGAATGTCTTTTCTATATTGGTTATTAAAATTAGGACCAAATTTTTCCATGTCAAATTGTTCAGAAAATAGGATAACCAAATGCGAATCCTGACTAGGCAAATATTATGTATGGTAATGACAGGAACTCAATGATATCATTGCATGACTTTGATTGGAAACGAGCAAGAGTCATCAAATAAAGAAAATCCTGCTCAAGAGTCTACATTTTCAGCATGGACAAAACAATTTTAATTCATCACTTTCCACTCCTGCAAAATCTCTTCCGGTATTTAGACAACCTTGAGGAAATTAGACTCCTCAACGGTATGGGTGGTGAAATTAGCCGGCTGGGGTGAATTTTATATATTCATTACATTATTCATTTGTATCTTAGCTGATCTCTAATATAAATTAAAGAAATAATCCAATGGGTCTACTTTACGGCTATGAAAGCACAAGACCTGATTGTTGTCGTCATATGATGTCCTGTTCCAAGTTGAATAAAGCTATTGTTTATGATGAAGTGTTCGTTTGTCTTCCTTATAGTTTAAAGAGAAAGGGTGGAGGGGGAGAATATAAAATGGGCACAGGAAAAGGGTAGGATGAGAAGAAAGGAGAAATAAATGCGTGTAGAAAGAGGGAACGGCGAGAAGAGAGGGAAAAGAAATGGGTGCATGAAGAGGGTATGAGAAGAAGAGATAGAAAAAAAACGGGTGCAGAAAGAGGGCAATGCGAGAAAAGATGGAAAAGAAACAAGTGCCGAACGAGAGCACGGAGGGACGAGAGGGAAAAGAAACGGGTGCAAGAAGAGGACAATGCGAGATAACAGGAAAAAGAAACAAATAGAGAAAGAGGGGGATCGGCGAAAAAAAAGAGGGAAAAGAAATGGACAGGAAAGAGGGACCTCGGTGAGAAGAGAGTGTAAATAAATGGATGCAGAAATGGGTGCTTGATCGGTGAAGAGAGTGTAAATAAATGGATGCAGAAAGAGGGTACGGTGAGAAGAGAGGGCAAAAACAATGGATGCAGAAAGAGGGTACGATGAGAAGAGAGGCCAAAGAAATGAATGCAGAAAGAGAGATCAGAGGGGAGGATTCAGTCATAGGGGATAGAAAGAAAAGGATGCTGACATTGGTAGTCAACAGAAGTAAAAAGAAGGGGTAAAGGCCTAGGCGTCAGAAAAGGAAATGGCGTCGTGGAAGAGAAGAAAAATATGGGTAAAAAGAAGGATAGAAAAATACAATAAGATTGTAGGAAATGATGGATTTCAAAAAAAATATTCACTGTTGAATTAATATTGAAAATTACTTCGGACCCCAAAATACCGAATTCAGCATTTTAAGAAAATGCTTATGTTCTTTTATAATTTACTTATAGCGAAATCAACGTCAAAACTAACCTACACGGCCCTAATCTACATCCGGGGGTATTGAAACAAAAAACGCCCTGTACACACCCATATATCTTCATAAATATATATATATATATATATATATATATATATATATATATATATATATATATATATATAAGTATTTCTTTAACTTTTTATATGACAGGATATAAATATACGTATCCGGTTTTCTTTATTAATGTAACTGTCTGTATGTTTTAATATCATTCGTTTTTGTATTAAAAATTGACGTTAATTGACTAAATATGCTCGTATGAATAATAACGTCTATTTTCATTTTATTTTTTCCGCTTTTAAAATATCTTTTATGCTGTGCTCTAAATGTTTTCTTTTTCGTATATGTTGACATTTACATACATATTAAAATTTGTATCTGTCCGTATTCAAATTTATACTAGATTTATCCCAGTCTCTCACAAACATAAAATAGTAGAGGATTTATTGAGAATCGAACTTGTTATAAACAGTTTACAAGGTTTGTTTTGTCTAGTATCATTCTCCGTCTGGTACTGTTTGATTATTTATAAACTGAGTTTAATTTAGCAAAAGGACGCATTTAGTTAAGTCAATGACATGACATTGCCAGACGAGATTCCTACGAGCAATCTCTCTATGTATTATGCCTAACGTCTTTTGTCCTGTATATAAATGTCTACAAAACATTTGTAGACATTTCAATAAGGACCCTTTGGGCAAGTATTTACCTAAATATATATATATATATATATATATATATATATATATATATATATATAAAAGCAAATATATGGATATAGATCCGACAGTATGAAAAAAAATATGGGATATATACAGGGAAAAAACAAAATCTAAAAATCTCTTATATACGATTATGTTTGTTTTAATGTTAATATCTCAACGTCTGACGTTTCGGGTCTAATAAACCATCTTCAGGATATGTTGTATTGATAATGTTATATTTATGAATATGTCCTGAAGATGGTTTATTAGACCGAAAACGCACTCAGACTTTGACATATTAACATTAAAACAGCATAATATAGGCCGGGGCGTCGCCCTCAAAGGGTGGGGCGTCCTTGGGGCCAGGGGACTGAGGATACTTCTCCACAACAGCACTAGCAGATGATTTTTGTTTTGCCTTTTTTCCGTATATCTTTTTCTTTCCAATGACCGGTAATATATATATATATATATATATATATATATATATATATATATATATATATATATATATATTACCATGGTACATTTGTAACCTGAGGAAGGCTACTTTCTGATGTTATCGATCAAACTGGATCGAGGTCGATCCCATCTTCCAGCGTGCGGCACCTTTGGAAAGTGCCTGAAAACCACACTATGGGTTCAACCCTATGCCTTGTGAGTGAAATTTTGAACGATAGACGGAACCCCAATTCGTTTCAATCTTCTTCGTCGATATCTATGGAAGACGGCCTGAGCGTGCTGGCCTTGTTCAAATTGTTGATCACGCTAGATAACACGCTCTCTCCCAGAAACTGTAACTAAGGTCTGCTCAGCATAGTTGCAGTATAAACCACAGGATTTTTAGGTACTGTCTGTAGACTGACGGCCGCTATTTGCTTAATTCAACATTTTGTCATCTGTGGAAATATTCAGATTGGTATTGTAGGCCATGATTAAAATTCAGCCGGGGAAAAATGATACATAAGCAGAAACGCCAGTAGGTGGTAATTTCGGAAAATGTTGAAACCTTCTTTTATATCTCTTATCCCTTTTATCAGTTTAGTGACCATGGCTCTCCACGACTTCTATCCTTTGCAACTCTAAGCAATGACTTTCCTCGTATCACTCCACGCGCTTGTTTTGCCATTCATTTTGCATAAAGCTGTACGTTATTCGATAGATCCGTTTATTCCTCTTGCCTTCAATATGTCTAGTGAGTGACAAATTCTCGAAGCCCTCTTTCCTTATTATACTTCCCCAAAAATTCAACTCTTTCTTATCTTAAACACAAGTGTCTTTGTAGTTCCTTAAAATGTCCAAGTTTCTCATATGCTCTCTCCACGGTGTTCTCTGCATCTTCCAGTAGAATCTCATCTTTTTTGGCTCAAGTCTTCTCTTCAGCCGAAAGAAAATTGTCCAGCATCCACTGCCATATAAGAAGAAAATGTTGAATAGCAGTTCAACACTCTTTTCTATCTTTCTAATTAACTTTTCATTATTAATAATTTTGTTTGGCCTTTTGGAATACAGATTTAGCTGTTTCAATGAGCCGTCAATTTTCTGTGTTATATCTTCTTTCGCCTTTCATAACATTTTCGAAATAGTTAAATTTCTGTATTCGTCTGATTCTGACGTCTCCAAATTGTTATGATGATCCAGAATGATGCTGATATTTCATCATTCTAAAAATAACCTTGCCATCAGTGATGATAGAAAATAAAGATATTTCATCATCCCTGAAATAAAGATAAAAAACTTACATCATCCTAAAAACAACCTTGCCACCAGTGACGAAAGTTGAGAAAGATATTTCATCATTCTAAAAACTGATTATATAAAAGACTCTTCACCACAAACGATGGCAGTCAGTAGAGTAGGGTCAGTAGTGTAGAGTAGAGTAACAGTAGTAAAAAGATAAACACAGACGTATTTCCTTCGCTCCGTCAAAATCCACAGTTGACGGTTTCAAATTCTACCATTAACCACGAAATTCTCGGAACAAAAAAAAAGTAAGCACAAACTTTTAAAGAAACGGAAGAGACAAAACATTGAGAACATTTTTAACACACACAATATCAATAGTGTAATTAACATCACGAAAAAAATGCACATTCTTGTCATTAATTTCAATACGTGTCTCAAAGTTTTATTGCTGTTATCGTTGTTCGTTTTTATTCATTTCGTTTTCACTATAAAAAAAGAGAAAAGGATTCCTTTATTAACTACAAATACATATAAAAACCGGGTAACTTATATTAACACAGCTCAAATCGAAACAACGTGTTAAAGTTTCAAAAGTGTAATTGGAAAATTGATCGTAAATTCAAACAAACTGGTTCGGTGGCAGATGTGAAAACCCCCATTGCCTGATCGTTATGCCGTTCAGTTGAAAACATTGCTGCAGTGCACGAGAATGTTGTCAAAAATCCAGACCCCTCTATTCGTCATCGTGCGCACGAATTAAACTTAACAACGTTACATCGTTTCCAATTGCACTCTCTGTTGGTTGATTATATTGATGAAAAAAATCGCGAAATGCATTTCTTTTTGAACGTCCATTTTCGTAATAGGCTTCGATAATCTTAACACGTTGACTGATTATTAATCTTTCCATGGTTGAAATTGCCAAAGACTTAAGTTGTTAAATCTGAAAGAAAAAGAGAAAAATCATTAGACGGTTAAACTTAATTCATATTTAAAATCGGGCCAAGTTATTGGAACACCCTTTATAAGAATGTTGGACAGTCTCATCACAATGGAAATTTGGTTCTACAGGAGGAGGAGGAGAATACCACGGATGAAACATGTGACCAATGACAGAATTTTAGAGAAAAAAAATCGAAAGAAAAATCACATTTACACTTAACACCAGAAAGACAAAGTTGAAATTTCTGGGGTACATAATGAAGAAACGGGGGAGTTAGATAATTTGATACTCATGGTGAAGGAAAGAGAGACAGAGAAAAGCGGCGCGTAAACTATATAAGGAGTATCTGCAAATGGTTGGCAGAACAGGGATCAGGGATGACAGGAAAAAAAACAAAATTACTAAGTGCTACAAAGGATAGGAAAGCGTGATGAGCTATGACCGGGCACGACACATAGAAGATAATGATTCATTATTTTCATTTTTCCCAACAGATAGAATTTGTTGATATATATATATATATATATATATATATATAGGTAACTACACTCGTCTCGGAAAACATTCGGTTTTTTGATTTGCCAATGGTCAAATCATTCTCGAAGGAAAAAAAAGGTTTTAAAAAAAGAAAGAGCTATGAACATGAACTTCTGTCGAAAATAATCGTACAGCATACAGGTCCAAAGCCCAAAGAAAAAACCCCAATACGAGTAATCAACTAACTTAAAAGTGCTCTATACAAAAGTAGAGCAGACCAAGTCAAACCTAGAGAGCCAGACAAACCTACCAAGGTTTCACCTAAGCAGATCGTCAGGAAAGCTGGCTCAATTTTTATATATATATATATATATATATATATATATATATATATATATATATATAATTGATGATGCACGATGGGGTAATGGATAGCGGCTCAGATTGAGGAAATGTGCTAATGCCTTATGAAAGGTATTAATCCTTTTCTTCTCTCCCCAGGTATGGGTAAATAGCAGGGCAGACTTGGGTGGCGAAGGAGAAGGAAAACCGGCCTGGAGAGGTCTGGTCTCCGTCAGGCTATCTTGCCCAAAAAGCATCACTTGCTGCGGCTGCGGTGCGTGTGGTGCCTCTGCAACCCTAATTGCTCACGGGATTCGAGATCGTGATAAACGATTAGGCGCATGTATGCGTGAACTTTCTCTTGAAACCCTTGTTCGAAAGTCATTATGTCAGATTTGTCAAGGTCAATTCTTATAATATACGAATAATATACGACACTTTTTGGAAGTATTTGAAAACTATACCATCAGTTGACATGTGAATGAAAATGAGTAAATTAATCTATTCAGAAATCCTTGATGGTTCTGGTAGTCATTGTGACC